TAACATTGCATCTTTAATATTTTTAGTTGTCTGATCATTTAATTCATGATATTTAATAATTAGATTAAACCCACATAATTTCTAAAGAAAGAAGAACAAATAAAGATGAGAAAACACTCCAAATAAGTTCAAAACCATTTGAGTAATGGAAATGAGGTTGAAGAGTATAAATTAATGGAGAGAGTTATCAATAGGAAAATTAATTAAAAATAATAAGTACAGTATTTTTAAAAATAATAATAATAAATAAAGTAAACGAGTCAACCCATCAACCTGTGAGTTGACCCTAACCCGACCCATGACCCGTACGGGTTGATATTACAGGTTATCTATGGGTTGTGGGTTGGGATATGTAAACCTTAACCTATTTTTACAGGTTGGTTTAAGGTCGGGTTGATAGGTCAGGTAGATTTTTACCACCTCTAGACATCAGTTAAACATAAAATTAATTAATGATGGTAGATGATTATAATATCAAAGGAAAACTTCCATTTAATTTAACCAAATTAAGGCAGAGCTTATTAGCAAACTTGTTTATAACCAAATATACCGAAGGAAAATTTAAAATAATGGATTTTTGAGTGGCTTATAAGGAAGTTTTAAACTTAAAAAGCTAGATTTGAATTTATCCTCCACCATATATTAAAAATTTGTGAGAGAACAATATGTTTATAAGTAAGTTTACTTTAAAAGCACCACCAAAAACAGGCCTTTATTCTCCAAAATCACATATAAGTCAAAGATCACTCAAATTTCAAGTTGATGCCAAAAAGGTTATGGCCTGGTGGCAGCCAACCCGAGTGGTAGCCTGGTAGGTGTTTTGGTGTGGGGTTCAAGCTACTCCATTGCAATCCCATCTCCTCCCCCACAATTACCCATGTTCAAAAGAAAAGAAAAGAAAAGAAAAGGTCATGTTGATAAATATGGACCAAATTCGAACTTTGACAAATCAGAGTACCTACATAAGAAAATCAAACTAAATTGATTTTGATGGTGCAAATGGTTCACCAATCAAACCTTAACACTTGGTGTTGGTATCTTATTCAGTAAGTCCTATATTTCAATTCAAACAATAATCATAAGGAAAATGATTTAAAAATAATGTTTTTGTATAATATTATATATCATTTAACAATTAGTTTTTTTTAATCAATTGGAACCATTGACGTTGTATGTTTTTATTTATTTAATGATATATAAAAATTATATAAAATTATTATCTTCAGATGACTCTAACTATAATTTCCTTGTTTAGAAAAAGAAAATAAAAATAAGCTGTGAGGATCTTGATGTGACCTATAGGACTGTTTGGTTCAAAGAAAATGAATGGGAAAAAACTTTTCTTCCAATCAAATTAATACGTTCTCAATTTCTCTTGAACTAATTATAGACTCTTAATTAAGGCTTGCTAGGTTGTTCAGCGATCTTGTGTTCAAAATTTTAAACTTAGGCAAAGACAATCCTCCACTTGTAATTACCCTTGTACAAAAAAGAAAAAAACCAACAAAAAAATAAGAAGAAAAATCAAGTGGGCAGGACCCAAATGGAGCGTCCACTTGACATCCCACCTGAATGACCTGAAATGGATTCCAGGAAACAAAAACCGGAGAAGACAAGAGTTTGATCGAATATGAGGGGATTTTGGCCTTTGCTTCCAGCCTCATCTGCCACTTTTATAACGACACCGTTGTTGTGTTACAAAGTATGGAATGCTTTCGTTTAAATTTTTGTGTCGTTTTGCTATCAAATTCTAATTATCGTATCTGCATGAAAATATTGTGTTTTTGTAACGTAATGCTCACTTCTTTTCTTCATTTCATGTGACGTGACCACGCCTGTCTCCTCTTCGCACCAACATTTCTACATATGTTAGCCAAAATCCCACGTCCTTCAATAATTTGAATTTCCCAGTTATATCATTGCGTTATTATTGTTTAAGATCTTGTCTCTTTTGGTCGACTCTGTTTTCAACAAGGGAATCTTTAATTTGATGTAGAAAATAAGATGATTTCATTGTGGTTTTAATTCATACAACATAACAACATACCATATATACATATATGTTACCATATATACAAATGTGTGTTGATCTTATAATAGGAGATAATTTTATTGCTTCTTTAATCTCTTCTCATCAATTATTTTAAAATTTAAATTTGAAGTCTTTAATTTCAAATTTTAACATTTTAGGTAACTATATTATATACTCTTTAAAAGTATATAATAAAACGTATTAATAAGAAAATCTTTTTAACTTCAACACAGGTGAAGAATATATCTATGGAATTTTTATATTATTAATTTTTATGAAAAATTATAAAAATAAATTTTATTTTCAATATTAATACAACATTAAATAATGTAATTAAACTAAAATATTTTTTTATTCAAATTAATAATAAAAATATATAATAATTAATGATGAAAATTCTGTAATAAAATTCCAACCCACAAGTTAATGGCACTTGGCCTATTGGCTAAGGTGCGTTAATTTCAACTTCTATGGCCCCATGGTGGGTTCGATCCCCGACCCCCAATCCCACCCCCCCCCCCCCCTCTCCCAAGTTGTATTAGTTGGTAACACACTTGAATAAATGGTCAAATGATGAGTCCTACTAACAAAGACTTAGATCATTAATTTGCATACGGATAAAATATATTAAGAAATTAAAATATGTTGTTTGTTATTATTTAATTTAAAATTAAAAGAAAGAGTATTAATTTTTGCATTTTGATGGAAAAAGATCATTAATTAATACTTACGTCTTAACTAATTAAGTATCATGTTTGTATGGTATCTTATTGTTCCTCAAAGAAAATTTGAATTTATTATTAAAAATAATTTACAGTGCACAAGTTTTAATTTTATAATTTTTGATAATAATTACGAAAGTCTCTTTTTATTCAGTAAAATAAATTGGTTAATTTAATGTGATGTGTCATTATGGCATTTGAATGCAATTTTTATTTTTTATTTTTGAGAAAGTCCCTATTGTCCTTTTTAATGTATTATTATATATGTTTGACAAAAAAACGAAAAACAAAAGAGTACAGTGTTATGATAGTACTGAATCTGTCAAAGTCATTTCTGAAGGAAAATTTTACCGCAAATATATAGCAGAAGGCAGAAGCAGAGGAACCTGTTTACGCTGTTGATAACTTTGTGTGTATTTTACCTCAGGAAAATGGGAGAGAAGGTACATTAGATGGTGGACAATGGATGGTTAATTTTGTAAGGCTTCGTTTACTAGTATTATATTGTATTATAATTATAATTATAATTTTTTTATTTTATGATATATAAAATATTAATTAAAATTAATAAAAATAATTAAAAATTATAAAATTAATGCTTTTAAATAAAATATTATGTAAAAAAAGTTTGTATTGTAGAACAAAACCTAAGTATTGCACGTGAGAAAAAAAAAAAAAAAAGGAAAAGAAAAGAAACCTTTTTGTGTTTGATACTGTTGGGTTTGTCCTTAACCTTTCAAATTTCAATAGTTATAATTGTTCCTTCATCCCGTGAAAATTATGCCAAATTATTGGAAGAAAAGTGAGGCTTTAGTGTTTAAAGAAAAGAAAGAGATTGGGGTTGAAAAATGTGTAGTGGGAGTGAGAATAGTTATATATGCTCCCTCAAGTCTCACAAAAGACAACTTTTGTCAAAATTTACTTAAAGGCTATTGATAAAATTCACACTTCTTAATGGCTTAATTAGTAGTACATGGGGTTTAATCAGTCCCTTCAAACCTTTTCTCCAATGACAAATTAAATTGTTCAAGTACCAAAACACAAGAAATGACAACTTAGGGACCATATATAGTTCTGAAATCAAACTTTGTAGGCGCAAACTGCCAAACTCGGATCTTTGTACCAGACATGCGAGTTTGATGATGAATGAAACTGATTTGTAAGCATTCTAAAAATAAAAACAAAAAACATTACTATTACAACTGATTGAAAGCGAGATATCAAAACCACAATTATCACAGTTGTAATCATTTTTTACTTTGGTTTCTAGACCGAATCATGGTGAAAGAAACAATTCCCTGCCAAAAAATAAAAAAAATAGGGACTTCCATGTAAAATTTTGTATAAAAACAAGAAAAAAAATAAAAGAGCATGATGAAAAAAAGAGTACATTTTCATGATATAGTGATTACTTATTTTTTACATGATTTTTTATGTTAAATTTGATAAATATAAATCAAAAAATTATTTTACACGTAATTTGCTTTATAAAATTATTTAAATATTTTTAAATTTGTTTTTATATTATTTTTAAAAAAATATTTAATTAATTTTATAAAATAAATTATATATAATTTATCGTGTAAAATAATTTTCTGAATATAAATTTAAAATATTACCCAAATATTAAAAAAATAAAGGAAAAATGGGAGGATGGAAAAAAAAAAAAAAAGATTTGGACACATCACAAAACAGGAGGGAGAAATAGGGGACGTGAGAGGGTGGGCTCAATGAAATAAAATCAGAAGGTATGAAAAGGACGGGTGAGGTTTCACAACACAATATCTGCGGCCCCAGTCCCAGCCCCCCACTCCTCGGGCCTTGTGCCTCTCACGTGTTGTAGTTTTGTAGGTCCATAAAAGACACTCAACTTTTACACGCCGATCCAGTAACTTTTTCAGATTTCTTAATTTAGTCCTCGTAAAATGTACTCTCTTCTGGCAGGGATTCAATCAGCTTTTCAATGGGATTTTCAATATTATTTTTTTAAAAAAATTTTACAGGGGATAAGAGTAGACTGTAGGGTCAAAACCAAAAAGTAAAACTAATTAGTATTTTAAAAAATAAAATTTTTAAAAAAATTGAGGTATAAGCATTGGGATAATGTAAGACAAAGGATATAAAATTGGAGAAGTGAAAAGAGGAACAAAATGTCAAACACAACGTTGCAGTTTTTGGGAAACTGTGCTTGGGAGATTGTAGTTTTCCACCATACACTCTTTTTCTGTCTCTTTCTCGCCTATTCACAACGTTCCATATTCTTTTATTTGAACCTGCATTTTTGTTCTTTATTGGATTGCTTTTATCTCCTTTCATTTTCAAGTTTTTTTTTTTTTTTCCAAATTTTTATTAAATTTAGAATTATGTTTATATGTAGAGTAGCCGTTAGATGATATATATCTAATGCAGTTTATACATTTAAGATAAAAGCCATGTTTGAAACAATGTTTCAAAACTTGATTGGATGATTGATCTGTTTTTAGCACAGAGCTCGATTTAACCGTTCACTTCAATAAGTCAACTGAAAATTACTTTTTTCAATATTTTTTTTATATTTTATTATTATTATATATATTTTTTGAATATAGAGAATTGTAACCGTTCACTTCAATAAGTCAACTGAAAATTACTTTTTTCAATATTTTTTTATATTTTATTATTATTATATATATTTTTTGAATATAGAGAATTGTAACGCGTACGAATTGGATTATTGATCAACTCATTCAAACATTATTAAGGTTTGGAGGTGAGTTATCAAATTAAAGGTTCGGTTCAATTTATTATTATATATTAATATTACTTTGTTTTTAAAATATAATCACCTAAAAAAATAACTTATAAATCATCTTAAAATAACTTTAAAAAATTGAATTTAGTTAAATACATACAATTTAGAAAGAAAAAAATGTATAAAAAAAGGGCAAAAAGTAATAAGAAAAAAATTTTGAAGCTAACCAAATTAGATCAACGGGTTTATTAGGTTGGCCAAGTTGACTCCATTTTGCTGCTTTTTTTCCCCCAAAATGATTTAGAGCATGTATCTGACCCATTATTATAAACAAATCTAGTTCAATTAGTTAAATGACTAGGTCAAGCCAAACTTTTAAACCATGGTTTGAAATTACTTTTACATAG